AGAGAGAGAGAGAGAGAGAGAGAGAGAGAGAGAGAGAGAGAGAGAGAAAAGGCTATAAAATGCATGGCAAATAACTTTTATGAAATCACGTTAGCAAGTCGCAAGTCACAAAAATGCTATTGTGTCGGAGAAACACAAAAAAAAATCAATCAAAGACATAGGTACAACGTGGTGAAAACACTATTTTAACGCTCTCTCCCCATACGTGTAAAGACAAAGTACATATAATATTACGCAAAGAAACAGCAAAGACAATCAATCTATGAGGCTAACCTATGCAAATTATCGAATCTAAACAAGAAATAATCTTTTTAAAGAACTAAAATAAAGTGACTTTATACAGTGACTAAATACATTTATCTTGATTAAGATCAGAAATGGTTGTGCTTCGCTTCCATTTATTAAATCATTAGTCAGCACATAAGGAAGAAAAGTAAATAAACAAAGAAAACTACACCTACGATTTCTAAGCAGCTGATGACTGTGACACACATTACGGTTAACTGCAACAGTCATTGCACACTGCTCACGTTGCAGTGCTTTATTACTTGATATTTCAGCAATAAATGAACGGTTATTATTAATAATGCCCGCAAAATGTCTGGTGTCAGTATCGCGCAGATGAGAGTTGATGCAAGACATATTCCAATCGTCGCTTTGGCAAGTATCCTTTATGTCTCCACCATAATCATGATCATCGTGCATGGAGGAAGACAAAATTGCTGTTGATACAGAGGAATCAGATGTGTGCGCTATGCGTGTGGTGGCGACTAAATCTTGCCAAAAACAAAGTGTAGCGGCCGACATAATTCACATTAAGGCTGTAAAAATATTATCTTCAAACACAATAATCAAGAAGAAGAATATCGAAAATATGTTAAACGAAATCAAACCCACACAACGCAAATCTATTTATTCTTTAAATAATTTTTTAACACAGAGAGCCTCTTGCCACATAAAGTTTTGTGTTTTTTTAAATCAGGTTTAATACCATTAAGGTCAAAATAAAATGAGAACACAATTATTAAAACTCTTAATATAATTTTTTTCTTCTTGGGGAAAAGCACTATCTATGTTTTTCGAACTTCAACAATTTAATGTTTTTATTAGCGCTGAGTCGACCGTCTGTCTACGAGAAAATATCAGCGAATACTGCAGCTAAAGTTAATTAACACAAGCGAACGAGGATCTTTATTTTAAAACACAATCCAAAAAAAATAAATAAATAAATAAATAAATGAACAGAGGCAATAAGTAAAAATAAAATAAATAAAGATAAATTGTTGTCGTTGTCCGTTGCGTTCCTAAAGTACGAAAATAAATAAAGAAATCCTCATAAAAACGCTAGGAAAACCTATACTCGCACGAGTAAAGCAACATAAACTACAATAAAAGCATTATAATATGTACTACGGATATGCAAATAAAAGCAAACATGAAAAGTTTCGACACAGATTTATAAATGGGATCTAAACATATGGATAAACAGGGAGACAAGGTTTTCGTGCAAACACAGTGCCCAAGAGGGCAAAGAAAAGGCGTTTTAGAAAGCTACTGAACGAGCACGCAAGCATTGGACATGTTTTTATTTAAATAAAATATTTATAACAGCAAAAGGCCAAAAAAAAAATCACAAATAAGTGCGAAAAAATACACACCGTTATCCAAAATGTCGATGAGTTAAGAATAGCAACTAACTGAAGCAAGGAAGAATTTCGAAAAGAAAGTAAAATTCACCTTTTATACCCTACACTACTTACGATACAAGATACGATACAAGAGTATATTAATGTGGGTCTGTTCATCTTGTGTTCATGTGTTCAACCAAGGTCGCGTTTTTTGAGATATTTTAATTAAATTTGATACGATGTCATGTTTTGATCCAAGGACGAATGCTGTTGAAACGGACCACTTTCAATATCAGGCTTTATTTTGGGGAAATCGCTATATGAATAATTTATTAAGCGAAGTGGTGTAGGGTATTTAACGATGGGCTGTGGCCCAATATGATGTTTTTACTTATTTTGTAAATAGGTTTTTTTAGATTGCATCTTTAAAAATTTCGAAACGACTGTAACAGTCTTAAAAATGAAAATTTTCTTTCACAATTTCTCCGATTTTTTAAGTAATAAGAAACATATATATTTTCGAAAAAAAAGAAATCGCAGCAACGCGGTCATTATCGCGAAGTATCTTTCCAGCGAACAGTACAAATGGTTCAAATTTGAATTTGAAATTTGGTTTACAAATCTATGACTAGAGAAGCACATAAGTTTTTCAAATATATTGTTTGAATGCGAAAATGATGAAATTTTTATCAAAGTTTTCGGTTCCTTTCTCGCTTCTTAGCACAAAACGGCACCACAAGAAACGCCATCAAAAGTGTTATAAGCGTTTTGACGAGCATCGAAAAATTCGCTCGGAATCTGTTTTTATGTCATTATGTGAAGAAGTTGCTATGTAGCCTCTTCTCAGTTAGCGAAAAACAGATGACTTCTTCTTCTTTACTTTTCGATTGTCATACGATTTGTCTTCAGAATTTATTTTTTTGTTCAAATTTCTGTTTTCGTTCCCCCAGCTGTGATATGTATTTGCATTAATGTACGCTTTGCACAATGTGCGCGTAGTTGCGATTCTAATCGATTTCAATCTGGTGAGTCAAGTAATAGCATGTGTGACATTTTATTGCTATTTAATTTAGTCTTTTTCTTCATTTCTTCATATTTTAATTGTTTGTACATCATTTATTTATTTAAATCCATTTTTCTTATATCCCCCATCAGAGATATTTACAATTTATCTCATCGCCTGTAATACTTAGGAATTGCATTAAATGTTCATATATGGTCTGCGTCTGTATGAGATTTTAAATTGATTTGACATTAGCGGCATTAATCGCTACAAAAATTCGGGGAAATAATCAAAATGGATATGTAACTATTTTTACACTTGCCTCTAACATACGTATGTTTTGTAATTATATCTTAGCACAATTTCATCAGGTCAGCTGCTGAATAATCTGAATGTATTATTTTTATCAACAATGTTATTTCTACGCGGGAAGGATACCGCGTCAAGATAGGTGATTTCTTTAAGAGTCGACAAATCATAATTATACCCTAAATCACTTGTATGAGGATGACACCTAAAAGGTCTTGAAGGGCTTGATATACATACACTTTTGTTACGCTGATCGATTCACTCAGAACCGCTTTTTGCATCGGTCTAGGTTTGTCGCTCCGTCTGTTCGTGTTTTTTTTTTTTTTGTTGTGTTGAACCTACAGGTCGCAATTTTTAAGACATTTTCATAAAATTTGCTACATCGACGCGTTTTGGGCCAAGGACGGACGCTATTGAAAATAGTTTCTGGTTTTTCGGCCACTCCCCATATAAATCGTATAAAAAAACTACAATTTTTAAAACTTTTCGACCAAAATCGCTGAGTGGTATTATTTCGAGATTCTAAATTGTTATCCCAAACATTTGGAACGAATGGGGCGATTTTTTGGATTCCCATTCCTAAATAATGGTAAAAATGTATAATTTTCAATATTCTAGTGTGAAAATTAATCCAAAAATCCAGTAATCCAGTAATATCCAGTAATCTGACATACAAATCAACCTTACCGAATTTGGACCATGTAAGTTTATTTTTTGGTCGTCAAAGCATTTAGGGCTACTAATAAAATGCAAAGCGTTATATTCGAAAAAAAAACTAATTTACAATATTTTATGATGACAATTTCTCCATAATAGTGAGTTGGCACAAAAATGAAGTGAACCAAATAGGACCCACATGGATCTATTTATTGAACCATACAGCAAGCGCTTTAGAAGAGGTTTAATTTTTACGATAAAATGGTCACACAGCAACAATTTAACATAAAAATTAACAGATGGACCACTTAGGCCTATTTTTTAGATCCCATCATACAAATACATACATCATCTCGTGAAAGGAAGCTGTTATATAATGCAAAGTCCAATTTGTAGTGTTTTATGACTAAAACAACTGAAAAATAATAAAACCTTTAACAAGTAAATTAAGTTCGCTAAATTTAGATAAAGTC